GCGGGGAGTCTGCTTCTCCCTCTGACCCTCTCCCTCTCATGCTGTCTATCTCTCATTCTCTTTCTCTCAAATAGATAAATAAAATCTTTAAAAAAAAGCTTTTATTCATTCATTTGAGACACGAGCAGGGAGGAGAGGGAGAGGCAGCCTCCCCGCGAGTAGGGAGCTCGATCCGAGGACCCTGGGATCATGACCTGAGCCAAAGGCAGATGCTTAACTGACTGAGCCACCCAGACATCACCCCACCCCACCCCCGGTTGACTTTCTTGACAGATTTCTCCCCGTCCAGTTGATTGCATATTTGCATCTGCTGGGTGAACGTGTGGACGCAGACTGAGTGTCTTGGGACTTTGCCATTAGGAGGTGCCCACTGGGTGGTGTCATGTTCCCTGTGAAGCTGGCCAGGTGGGCTCCCCTCTATAGAGCACTCATCCTACTCACCCTTTGGAAAGGCCTGGGAAGGAGTCTCTTGGCACGACAGGCCACTTGGTGATCGTGATGGCTTCGCCATTGCTCCTGTAAGAGCTTGCTCAGGGGTCTGTCAGCCGGACACAGCACATTTGGACTTGCCTACTTGGCCGGTGCCAGGACTCGCTCCATACACATGGTGAGTGGTGCTCTCACCTGAGCCAGAGCACATAGCTCTGGTTCCTCCCACCTCGTGTCTCCAGCTGTGTCGGTGCAAATCCGAACCACGAAACCCTTCTCCTGGCACAGACAGGAACGTGGGTGCTGTGCAGAGGCCGAGCCATAGAAGTCCTCCTATTTCTTCTCTGCGCTGCCAGGAATGTGATTATGGATGCCTCTCCATGGCCCAGGCAAGAGTGCTCAAGGAAGATCTAGGTCTTGCCTTCTTCCCAGCCAGCCATGCTGTGTGGGGACTTCCCCGGCTGCACTCTAGGCTGAGGGCCTGTGGGCCCCAGGGTTACCCTCACTGGCCTCTTCCTAAACCACACCATCAATAACTATCACTCGCAGGCTCCATGCAGACCCCTAACAAGCCAGCGGACTGTTCTGGGCCTCCTGGGGGTTTCTGGGTTTCTTCCTCCCTCTTATTTCAGCACTCACCGGACAGTGGACACAGCCAGCTGACTTCCCAGTCGGTCCCCATCCGTCCACCCCTTCCTGCCACTCTCTCTCTCTGCCCCCACCACCCAGGTCCTTCCAGCCTCCCTACTGTGGCTTTCAGCGTGTGTTGCTGGAGTCGCAGCACACTCTTGGGCCTGGGGTGTGCCCTTGTTTGAGCCTGGTGGGGGTGGGGCAGACTCGATGGGAGGGGAGGGGGCAATGAGTAAGGGTCCATGCACAATTTGACTGCCACCCTCGGGGTGGCCCCGCTGCTTTCAATGAGTGAATGAGGCTGGTTGAGGCTTCAGCCACCAGTGTAACCAGATCTCTGTGGGCTCTTGAAAAATGGAGCTCTCTTCAGCAGCAAATGTTTGCAATTAACTTTAACATATGGTGGAATTTGTTTTTGTGTCCGTAAAGCATGATAGGCAGTGAGGATCTGGCAGGGAACGTACCCAGCTTGTCACACCCTGGGCCGAGCTTGTGGGCGGGCTCTTTCCACTCAGTTTGGAGCACGAGACAGTCGGTGAACTAAGCAGTCATTGATGGGTCAGCTGGGGCCCTGAGCCCTGTCTTTGGCTTGCCACATCCTCTTCCTGCCAGATGTTTCTACCTGTCCGGCAACGAGGTAAGGTGTGGTCCCCTTCCTTTTATGATGGGGCTCAGCGGCCTCTGGCCTTAATGATCCTTGCTTCTCGGTTGTGGCCGCTGCCCAGCTCCTGTTCTCTTGGTCTATGCGCTTTCTCCTGCACATGCCCCGTAGGATCCGCATGCTTTGGTCAGTTACAGCAATAGGAATCAAAGATCAGCTCTGTGACCAAATCCCGGTTGACTTCTATGTTTTAGTTCATGTTGGGCTGCAAGTAACACAAAACTAAACAAACAGGGGCTTACACAAATAGGAGAGAGATCATTGCCTAACTGGAAATTGGGGGTATGAGTTACTGGGTTGATTTGGCAGTTCAGTGTCACCAGGGATCCAGTCTCTCTCCAGATCCCCTTTGTGTGTCTTCAGGATGCTGGCCTCATCGACCAGCTTGTCACCCAGTGCCTGCAAGGTAGCTTCCCAGCCTCCTATGACAGGGTCCAAAGTGAGAAGGAAGGGGCTGGGACCAGGGCTTTCTTCATTGTTTGCTTTTTACACAGAGGAAAATCTCAGGAGTCCCTAGTAGACTTCCCCTTGTATCTCTTTGACCATAACTGGGCCACAGGCTCACCCTCAGGCTAGTCACTGGCCAATGGGAGAGAGATTTGTCTGCCTGGCTCAGATAAGTCATGACTCATCCCTGGACTGAGGCACATTGTCGCCCAATGAAGTCCGGGATCTCCGAGCAAGGTAGAAATGGTGGTCGGGAGGACAGCCAACCATGTGTGGTCTTGTGATCCTCCACTGTTCTAACAGTGGAGGCGATGGTCAATGGGATGCTTGAAAGTGCTGGGAGGGGAGCAGTTACTCCTGGGGACACAAGGCCATGGGATAGGAGATTGCAGTGGCCCACACCTCTTCAGGTCCCTGTGCATCTATCCTGTGTGTTGCGTTGCCCCTAACTGCCATCCTCCTACAGCGCTGCTTCCTCAAGTTAGGCCTCTGCTCAAAGATGTGCCAAGACTCCCCATTTCCTGTGAAAAAGCTGTCAAACTCCACATTTCAAGGCCCTCTCCATCTGGCTCGAAATAACCTCACATCGAGTGGAAAATACACATTTCCTGTTTTATCTCTTGATATTTCTTTGTGCAAAGCAGGCGGAAAACCGACCTACTTTCTGCCTGCATAACTCACCTTGGGGTTTTTGTCTCCACAACCTTGTCCCTCTAGAGTCTCCATTTGGCATATCTGACTCCATAACTCAGCCTGCTCTGATTTTCCTTTTTGTTTGAGGTGCTCACTTAAGTCCTCATTTCTTTGGAGAACACCTCCTTGATGGTTCCAACTGGAAGTTTCCTGAGTCTCCTAGGAATTTCTGTAGCCCTTGTTATTGGTCTACCCACACGAGTCACAGAGAGCGCTGGAGGGGCATAGATGACTTTTGAGCAGGGTATGAGGTTTGCGCTGACTCTTGAAGGCTGGGGAAGATTTGGGTTGGCTAAGAGAACAGAAACCATGCCAGGTAGTTGGGTTGCAGGATGAGACTGTGTATTAAGAATGCACCAAGAGGGGCGCCTGGGTGGCTCAGTCATTAAGCGTCTGCCTTCAGCTCAGGTCATGATCCTGGGGTCCTGGGATCGAGCCCCATGTCTGGCTCCCTGCTCAATGGAGAGCCTGCCTCTCCCTCTCCCTCTCCCTCTGCCTGCCGCTCCCCCTGCTTGTGCTCTCTATCTCTCTGTCAAATAAATAAAATCTT